CCCAAAAAACAGTATTATTAAATTAATATCACTGCATTCCTTATGTTCTAGGCACTAGACTTACAAAATGATTAACAGGGGCTGGGAAGGTGGCTCAGTGGTAGAGTGCTTACCTTGCCCAGTCCCAGAGTTCAGGCCCCACAACCAGGGGATAAAGAAAAGTAACAGGGCTCTAGTCTTCAAGAAATTTAACAGTTTTTGTGGAAAGAGGTTAACACTAAAATAACAATATGCAGCAAGTGATATTTATTTAAGCCTTGGAACTTATTAGGAACAATTCTGGATGGCAATAACACTTAAGTTCTGACAATAACACTATGTTCTGAGCTCAGAAAAAAAGGAAGAGATTCCATGTATCCACTGAAGAAATTCAAATTATTTTATCAAAACAAAATAAAAGCTAACATTGGTAGAAAAAAAAGTTAGCTCTCAAAAAAAATAACCTTCCCAAATTTTAAAGAAAAATGGATAAAAGGTATGAAAAATATGAAAAATAACCTTCCCAAATTTTAAAGAAAAATGGATTAAAGGTATGAACTACACAGAAGAAAACAAAAAAGAAAACAGTGGTTAATCATACCAAGAAGTTCAACTTCAGTGATAGGAGAAATATAACCTCCATAAGAAGGCAATAATGCATTTTGTTATATGGGCTGTCTTTCAAAAAATGTGTTTATCAGCCTGGGGAAGGGGGGAGGTATGTACCTAGCACACATAAGGAACTGGATTTGATCTCTAGCAGCATAAAAAGGGGAGGAAAATGTTTATCAGAAAATGAGAATATAGGCAGAGCTGATAAATTGTAATCTAAAATACTCAAGGAACTCTCGAAGGAAACTTTATGGTAAGAATACAAAACTACCAAGTTAAACATAGCAAAAAATACCTGAACACATACAGAACCAAAGTAGGTATACAGATGCTCAACTAATATGTCATCGAGTAACTACAAATTAGAACAATCATATAACAAAAGCCACTAAGGACACAAAACAGAAACTCTTACTCTTCGGTGATGGGAAAATAAAGAGTAAAGTAACTGAAAAACAGTTTGGCAGTTTCTCACAAAACTATGTGATCCAACAATCCAACAGTTGCACTGCTTAATACTTATTGAAAAGAGCCGGGCGCTGGTGGCTCACGCCTGTAATCCTAGCTACTCAGGAGGCTGAGATCTGAGGATCCAGGTTCAAAGCCAGCCCGGGCAGGAGAGACCGTGAGACTCCTATCTCCAATAAACCACCAGAAAACCGGAAGTGGCGCTGTAGCTCAAGAGGTAGAGCGCTCGCTTGAGCTGAAGAGCTGAGGGACAACGCCCAGGCCCAGAGTTCAAGCCCCACGACTGACAAAAAAAAAAAATTATTGAAAAGAACTCAACACTTGTAACTACAAAAAAATGCATGGATGTACATTTATTGCAGCTTTATTTACAACTGCCAAAACACAGAAGCATAAAAGTATACTATCCTTTCAGTGAGTGGTACTCGTATCCAAGCTAAAAAGAAAGGAGCTATGAAGCCCCTAAAAGACTAAACTGAAATAAGCCATCTGAAAAGCTTATATACTGTTTGATTCCAAAAATATAACATTCTGGAAAAAGTAAAAATATGGAGAATGGAATGGTTTTTTTAAAAAAATCTAGGGACGGCTAGATTGGGAAAAGGAAGAAAGAAAGAGCATGCAGAGCACAGACAATCGTTAAGGACACTGAAACCCGTTTTCATGATAACTACATGATTAAGTACATGTCACTTACATCTGTTAAAACCTTTAAAATATGTAATACAAAACTGAAGCTTAATGTAAACTATGAAATTTCTTATTTTAATTTTGTGGTCATGACCTCAACAAATGCAAACTATGCTACAGGATAGTTCTCAAGTCCCAGGACAATCTGAGGAACAGCCTATTTGAGGGAATGAAATCTGCTTTAAAAAGTTATCACTGTTCTATCAGTATTTACAGAAAAAGGACATTTGGCCTCAGGAGGCATAAGAATACAAGAAAACAGAAGACTGTCTCAGAATATTTTTTAAAAAAGATTTTTTAAAAACAGCTGTGCTGTCGGGGTGGAGTGCTGGTGGCTTACCCCTATAATCCTAGCTACTCAGGAAGCTGAGATCTGAGGATCATGGTTCAAAGCCAGCTCGGACAGGAACATCCATGAGACTCTTATCTCCAGTTAACCACCAGAAGTGGTGCTGTGGCTCAAATGGCAGAGCGCTAGTCTTTACCTGAAGAGCTCAGGGACAGCATCTAG